GTTGGTACTCGGTTGAGTAAGGTACCGGGTGTCCGTCGCGGCCCATCGGTTTGGGTCGTGACAGATGCAATACGAATTGGTGATTATATTTACTTTTTCATGTGTATTAGTACATGCTGATTCATTAATTGTTTTGACGGACTATGATTGGCCTGAAATTTCGTAGGTCCATAGGAAACAGCCTAGTAACAATACTTATCGCTTTACCATGACTTTTAAATTTATTTTTGATGTTTTGGGGTCATGCAATACGAAGTTGTGATCATATCTGATTTTTCTTATGTATTAGTACATACTGATTTTGTAAAATACAATTTGGCGAACTACGGCCAGCCTGAAATTTCGTTAGTCTATAGGAAACAACCTAGTAACTAATACACATTGCTTTGTCATGACTGACATCGTTTTTTGGCATTTCGGATTCATTTTATGACGTTTCACGGTCATGCAATATAAATTTGTGATTATATCTACTTTTTTGGGTATATTAGTACATGCTGATTCTATAGAAGTTTTTTTATGGACTCCGATATGCCTTAAATTTTGTAGGTCCCTGAGAAAAGGTCTAGTGACCAATATTCATATGTTCATCATGACTTTCGGATTTATTTTATCGCATTCCGGGATCTTGCATTACGAATTTATGATTATAGCTACTTTTTCATGTATATTAGCATATGTTGATTTTGTTAAAAAACAATTGACGAACTCCGATTGGCCTTAAATTTCGTAAGTCCATAAGAAAATGTCTAATAACCAATACTCACAGCTTCGCCATGACTTTTGGATTTACTCTGGCATTTTGGGATCATACAATACAAATTTATGATATTCACTTTTTTGTATATATTAGTACATGTTAACTTTGCAGATTTTTTGACGGACTCTGGTTTTCCTGAAGTTTTGTAGGTATATTAGAAACGACCTAGTGACCAATACTCATTGCTTCCCCATGATTTTTGAGTTTGTTTTCTGGTGTTTCGAGGTCACGCAATACGAATTTATGAGTATATCCACTTTTTCATGTGTAATAGTACATGGTGAAGTTTTTTGACGTATTTTGATTGGGCATAAATTTTGTAGGTCCACTGGAAATGATACGTATTGCTTCGCCATTATTTTCGAGTTTATTTTCTAGCGTTTAAGTCATGCAATACGAATTTATAATTGTATCCACTTTTTTGTGTGTGTACATGCTAATTTTATAAAAAAAATATTTTGACGGACTCTGATTGGCCTAAAATTTCGTAAGTCCATATGAAATGGCCTAGTGGCCAATAACTTATTACTTCGACATAACTTTCAAGTTTATTTTATGGCGTTTCAGGGTCATGCAACACCAATTTATGATTATATTCATTTTTTTGTATGTATTAGTATGTTGATTTGTAGAACTTTTTTGAAGGACTCCGATTGAGTTGAAATTTTGTAGGTTCATAGGAAACGACTTAGCGATTATCGCTTTGCCATGACTTTTGTGCTTATTTTTTGGTGTTTTGGAGTCATGTAACACAAATTTATAATTATATCCATTTTTTCGTATGTATTAACAACGTTGATTCTATAGAATCTTTTTAACGGACTCCAATTGGCCTGAAATTTTGTAGGTCCATAGGAAACGACCTAGTGACCAATAGTTTTCGCTTGGCATAATTTTCGAGTTCATTTCTTTGTATTTTGGATCATGCAATACGAATTTACGATTGTATCCATTTATTCATGTGTATTAATACATGTTGAGTTTCGCAAATTATAATCTATACAATTTTGTTAAAGTAGAAAGGTTGCGATGTGATTGACTTATACGTATTACGTAATACAAAAGATTTATATAGTACATAGATTTAGTTGATTGATTGAATCATAATTGTATCACAAAGTGGAATGATTCAAAAACCATATAACATCCTTTGCTTACAAATTGACCACTGATACTTCAATAATTCAAATAACCAACTATAGGAAATCATAAATAAGAGCCTCAAACATGAATTGAATAATTCAACCGTTACGTATTGGAACTGTCACCGTTTTACCCCCAATGAAAAACACACAAAAATCACCATTTATTGTGTCATAAACAAATACTATATCAATACTGACATAGTGTATCAATCCCACTTGACTCGTTCAAACACCTAAAAAGCTTCTTCTATTTAGAGTTTAGACTTGCTCGATATGTGTCCTAAACAAATAGTATTAAAATGATGATGTACTAGTCAGCTTGTCGGTACTTTAGTTATTTTATTAAGTATTTGTTATCTTACACTAATATAAGTACCGATAAATTGTCCCTTTTAAAACATAAATAAATGATAATAAATCTTGAAATCTTGATTTTCAAAATTTTCGACTACTTCATTGATCACTGTGTTACATGTGTGCTTGAAAAAAAAAAGCTCCTTTCTTGCACACATGTGCACACCTGATATACATTTGAAACAAAACAAAAAGCTAAAGTAATTATGTCAATTATGTTCCATTATAGATATGGTTGATTGTGACCCTTCCCACATCTTTGACTCCTGTTTCACTAGATTTGGATAATATAATTTAATTATTCTTTATTGTTATGGCCTGCTTAGAAACATCTATCACGTAAATTAAGGAGACTGCCAGTAAAGATTTATTTGGTCGAAATTTTTGTATACATTCATGTCTATTTATAATAAAAACAATAAATACATATTACCTTTAATTCCTTATTACATAAATTGTGATTAAATTGACAATAATCCTTTAAAACACTTGAAAAATTGAATTAAAAAGATTAAATGATAGTAATTCATATATTAATGAATTTATTAAAATATTAATATATATATAGGTTTAATACTTTTGTTTGTATGTGTATAATATTGGAACAAGATAAATTTAAATAAAATAAAGTATAATAATAAGACTAGTGAAGATTCATATATCGCGTCTTAATTTATTTGAGATTGTTATTGTTTTATTGCATTAAACATAACTTATGAAAATTATAATAGAATTAACTAATTTTGATGTCTAGGGATGTGTTTTTCCTCTATCCTAAATTTTCTTTTTTGTGCTTTGTCTTGATTCTTGATGAATCTAATAACGACCCAATTATTGACTGCTTTGAAATGGGTTGATTAATCCAAGGTCTTTTTTGCTACAAAATCTCATCTGGGTCTTCCTTTTCTTGGTCATTTTTGCTCTCTTTTCTTTAGCTTTTGACCTTTTTTGCGTTCTTCATTAGAAAGCTCAAATTTTTAAGGTAGCTAATGGTGCTATCAAAATGGGTTGATTATTCAAGCTTTTTTTCTCACCTGGGTCTTGCTTTTCTTGGTTAGTTTTGCTGACTTTCTTTATCTTTTTGTTGTTGACATTTTGGCTTTGATTTCTCTATAGAAGCTCAAATTTTGTGGGTTGTTGATGGTATTGATTTTATGTAGCATTTGATTTTGAATTTTGATCTTTTTGATGAACTATCAATTTCATTTTGCTTTTCTGGGAAGTTTTTACTGTTATGGAATTGTTTGAAAATATGAGAATTTGAAGAAAAAGTGAGGAAAAGGAAATATTTTGGGCAAAGACTCAATCTTTTCTCCTTCAGACAACTAATAAAGTAAAAAAGTTTGGATCTTGGAATGTTTGTCTTGGTCTGTGTCTACAAAGGTTGATTTCAGAAAAGAAAAAGTTGATTTTTTTTCTTCTGTTTCTCATGTTTGTGGGAATTGTTGTGTGCTTAGTAGGTGAGCATTTCCAGATTTGGCTTAAATTCTATGCTTTTTCATTTCTGTCCCATCAAAAGTTTGTGAACAATGTGTTGTCAAGGAGAATTTGCTTCTTGTGTAGGAAATTGTTGTACATTCAGTGTGATGCTGAAAAGGAAAGAGATTTCCTATTTCTCTCCTTTTATACAATACTAAGTTATGTTCCCCACTTGCTTTGGCAGGACTAGGATATACATTTGTTCGTGGCTTTGCAGTTTAATACATGGCTCCCGGAGGCAGTAGTTACCAGGATATTGGTGATTCTCGTAGCGCATATGCTGATTATGGTATTGCACCCGAAAATGCTGAACCCAAAAGCTCCCCTTTTAGAAAATCCACAGCTGTTAATATTATTGGTGGGAATCATGGAACAAGATCTAATACAGCTGTCCATGAGCTACTCGAATGCCCTGTTTGTATGAATCTAATGTACCCTCCAATTCATCAGGTTGGTTCTCATGTAGCTTATTTTGGAATGTCAGATTTGCAATTAAAGTGATGCGAGATTCTTGAAAGTTATTTTACTCCCAAAATATTCAGGAGGGGGCATTGATTAGTAAAATTGAGGTTGAAATTGGACAAGAATCCGAATTCAAATGTGATGGATTTAGAAACCCCGTGACCTGATAGAAATTTAAGCCTGAAAAGATTTTATTTTCTGCTTACTTTGGCACTGAGATTTCTGAGGTGTAAGCTAAAAGAAGTCGGCTTCTTGTTCATGTAATGATGCTATTGGCTAGGTGGCCCTAATGAAAACACTCTACTACACTAGCTTAATATGTTAGGACAGTAACACTCATTTTGATTGATGTCCAAAAAAATACATAGAAAACTGCTGGTGGGGCATTTAGGTGATAATGCAATTTTTCCAGAAATGTCTCTGCCTCCTCTAGTTTGACAAACTGAACATGTGAAGTGTTATGTTTCTTCCCAATGAGCATTGGCTGTTTTTGAATAGCTTTCAAGTCATTGGGACATAAAATTCAAGTTCTGCAGTGCTCTTCCTTGGTGTTTGAGCTTTTCTTTGAATAGGATTTATTGGTGAAAGTTTTCTGCTTCTCAATGCATGTTCTATCTTCTAACTGTCAAAATCCAAGAGGGATTCTAGCTTGCATCAGCATAAACATAGCAAGTTATAGACTATAAACAATACATACCTGATGCACACTTAAGAGTTTAGACTTGCTCGATATGTGTCAAAGAAATTGTTTGACCAAAAAATATAACTTTGGCTAAAACAGTCAAGTTTATATAATAATGGGTTAAACCTAGTTAAAAATAATATCTCTAGATGTGAGTTCCGAAAACGTGAATAACGTTAGACAGATCTGGTAGTGGGTTGACTACAACATACATTAATTGTTCTAAAAAGTGTGAGCAATAACGGAGGAAGAACTAACAATAAATGGCATTTAAGTAAATAGGAGAAGTGGTTCACCCAATAAAGGATGAACTAAATGATTGTCTCTCCTGACAATGATGAGTGACAAACAAATCCTACAACGTTCGAATTATTCTCGGATCTGACGGAAATGTGTGGAATAATATGAACAAGAATCTTGATGGAAAGGTAGTGTTTGTATCTTTATAAAAGAGAGAATCTTTTCTCAAAAGTCGGTTCTTATCAAATGAATGTCACCTGTCCTATATCACTGTCTCTTTTTCTATATATATGAGACATAACCCTAATGCGGTTAACCCTAACACACTCTATAGCCGTTACGACTCTGCTAATAGTGTTCGATCTCGCCCGTTGTTGACATCTCGACCACAAACCTCGGTGCTTCCTAGTCGACCTCGACTGACCCATTCCTTAGTGCTATATTGCCCTAAAATAGAAATTATGTGATAAGAGCTGATATTGTGCTTCATTTTATATCGTATAGAAAATGCCAAAATAAAATATTTTTGTGTTTATTCAGGAAAGGAAAGTAGAAAAGTTGGCCTTGAGAAATGTAGAAGTGTGAGCTAATATAGTTTTTACATTACGTTTATTAGATAAAAGTAAAAATATAAGCGTATAAGGGAGCTAATATAGTTGAAAGTGGAAAGTTGTACTTGAGACAATACCAAAGTGTGAGCTAACTTAGTTTTTACATTACGTTTATTCAAACGACTCCATGTATTTGAGAAATAGTCTCTCATTCCTAGTTATTTTCGGTGCACCCATGAAGTTACAATTTGTATAGAAGATCGGTGTCGTTTGTAGAAATTTATATTTTGTTGCAGATTCTCTATTTTTTAATACACTGCTTGTATAGGGGAGAATTTCCATCATTAATCAAAAGAAAGGGGTTCGCTTTCTGTAAATTGGGTAACATTTCGGATATAACCAAAACTGGAATGTAGGACATGCACGTTTTGGAGATACAGAGCATTTGTTGTTAAAGTAAAAAGAGCTCTATCCAGTAATTTTATAGTATTTATTTCACTTTATTTGAGTTGTCATTATCTTTTTGGCCTTTGATTAATTTCACTTTCTACTGAATTTGTTACATCTTCCATGTGCGAAGTGTCCAAACGGTCATACGTTATGCCTGAAGTGCAAGACAAAAGTCCATGTATGCCCAATTTGCCGCCATGAGCTTGGAAACATAAGATGTCTAGCATTGGAGAAAATTGCAGAGTCACTGGAATTGCCATGCCGATACCAAATCTTTGGCTGTCAAGATATATTCGCTTATCATAGTAGGCTTCGGCATGAGCAGAACTGCAGGTTTCGTCCATACAACTGCCCTTATGCGGGATCTGAATGCACTGTTACTGGTGATATTCAGTCCCTTGTTGCACACCTCAAAAATGATCACAAGGTTGATATGCATGACGGCTGTACCTTCAACCATCGTTATGTCAAAGCTAATCCTCAAGATGTTGAGAATGCTACGTGGATGTTGACTGTGAGTTCTCTCTCTCTCTCTCTCTCTCTCTCTCTCTCTCTCTCT